GAGTAAGGGCCTCGGCAGACGACTAATTGAGTCGTCTTCGAGGCAAGGAAGAGCAGGGGCAGCCGCAAGCACGGCGCCCCTTCCTCTTTCTGAGGTCGTCCTCGGAGCCGCCGGCCCTCTGCATGGCCGGCGCTCCGGGGACAACCTCCCGCCGCAGCATCCGCACGCGCTGCAGCAGAAAAGGCAGGGAAAGTGCACCCTACGCTTTTAGGGCGCACTTTCCCTGTCTTGTGGAAGGAGCGCTGATTTAGCGCTCCTTCCTGGGACGCCGCAGGAGCGCCGCGGTGCGGAGGCTGCGCTCCCGCGGCACTCCGTCTGGCGGCGTCTCCGGCGCCTCCGTCTGCTTCCCCCCTTAGTCACACTGTATTCTATTTGACTTACTTCTAAGTAAACCTGTCTAGGATTGCTGTGCGCAACTATGAATCTGAAATGAGCCTCTATAGTACAGTTACTAAGTATGAATAACTCTGTAAACACTGTATAGAGTCTAGTGTTTGGACAATTACCCATACTTAATGACTGTCTTCAGGACAACTTGGATGTCCTGCAGTTTCTAGGATATAGCCTTGGTGAGCTTATCTAGCCACAAGATGCAAAACAAGAAGAGACTCATATACAAGTCACCTGTTAAGATAAGATGTTTTAAAGCTAAAGCCTTAGTTTCGCTTGTGTGTTGGTTGGATCAGCACCTAAGGTAGGGGACAACAACTAGTGTGCGAAATTAAATGCTACAGCTTTAACCATAACCCAAGGTGCTGCTCCAACCAAACCATAGCAATTGGCAGTACCTGGCTCAGGGACATTCAGAGCTGGCATTTGGGAAATGAATGTCCAGAATATGTGCATGCTTACATGGCACTTGTCCCGGGGGGGGGGGGGGGCAACCACTATTGTAGCTGGAAAAAGCTGGAATTATCCTTAAACTGCAATTAAGGTGAGTTATACATACAAGCATTGGAAAGGTACCTGCACAGTGCAAACATTCTCTCATGTTCTTGGCCTTTCAACTACCAAAGAGACAATTTGCTTTTTAACCTGAACAATAATTTGCATTTTGACATGGCATCTTTGAGACTGAGAGAAAGAAACTGAAGGGGGATGCAGACAAGGGCGTCGGAGACGCCCTGGTCCGGACCGCCGCCGGAGTTCAGCCTCCGGACGGCGGCGCATCCCCAGCGCATCTAAAAGGACCGCCAAAATGGTGATCCTTTTAGATTCTCCGGAAAGTGCGCCCTAAAAGCGGCGGGCGCACTTTCCGGGGCTCAAACGCCGCGGCGCGTTCGGCTGCTGCGGCATGAGGGCAACCCGCAGTTGCCGGCCGTGCAGACGGCCAGCGCTTCCGGGTGCGCCCTCAGGAAGAGGAAGAGCCGCCGAACGTGCTGCGGCTCCTCCTCTTCCGGGCCTCGGAGACGGCGCAATTAGCCGTCTGCCGAGGCCCTGAGACTGAGAGAAAGAAATTTATGAACTTAAGTTTACTTCATCAGATGCGCCTGATGAAGTACACATAAGAGATCAGTCTTATCACGACTCTTGACAGTTTTAAGAGAGCGGTAAAGACGGATCTCTTTCAGCAGGCCTTCCCAGAATAACTTCCCGGCTCATACGGAGTTGGATTGCTACCCACCCCTTGCCGCTAATGCCTGTTTTTATTTAAAAATTGGTTTATTTTATTGTTTTTATGTGTGTCTTAATTGTTATTTTAACCTTACATCAGTTTAATTTAGTTTTAAGGAGGTGGGAGGGTTAGGGATTGGGATGAAAGATTGTTTTAACTTGTTGACTGTTTTAACTTGTTGCATGCCGCCTCGGTTGCCAAGCAGAGGGGCGGGATAAAAATAAATTATTATTATTATTATTATTATTATTATTATTATTATTATTATTATTATTATTATTATTAGCAGCTTATGAAAGCTTATGCTACCAACCTCTTCCCCTCCAGCTCAAAGGTAATAAAATATTCCCTTGCATACTGATCCAGACTAACACGGTTCAAATTGGTTCAAATGGAGAACCCTTAAACACTTGTAGAGAAGGTGAGAAGTTCCTAGAAGCAAGTTCTATTTCTGAAAAAAAATTATTTTACATTTTGATGGAAATCATTAAATTTGGATGCCAACCAGTTTCTAGATGCTGTGGAAAAGAGCAATAAGAAGTAATTTTTCAAAATACATAACATAATGATAGTATCCAAAGAACCATACATCTCATTCTTTGAGCACCCAATTCCAATCCCACCACACCCAGCAGAAGTTCAGCCATCTCACTGTCATCTTATATAGCACCCTGCTTTATAAGTGAATGAAGAGCCACTCAAAGTAGTTTGCAATCTGGCATGAAAGCAACTATGCCCAGAATAGAGCTATGGGGAACAGGGAGTGAAGGGCAATGCCCCCAAGACATCAGAATTCTGCCCCCATGAAATTTTCCCTTAATCCACAAATTTCAAGCATTGCACAGAATGAGACATTGAAAACTGTTCACACCTAGAACTCGTATAGTTGCTGTGCTTGCATAACTTTGCTAATCTAGCCTTCCTCTTTCTTCAATTTTTGTTTGTTATAATGAAAAAAAACACATAATTAAACTTAAAAATCAAACATTATACATAAATATTTTCAATACTACTACAAAGTGCACCCCACCCTCAGGACAATATATACCATTTAATTAATTAGTTTTCCAAAATTGCAATGACTCTCATGGAGGCATACATCTCTATATTCTATAAACTTACTCCATACCTCTTCCTCTTTCCTTTGGATGACTAAACTATCTAAAATGCTCAAATTGATTTTTAATTTACTGCAATGGAAATCAAAATTCTTATTTGAGGGGGCAATGCTCTCCATCCCCCCATAACCACTCCTCTGGCTATGCCAAGAAAAAAAGTTTTGAAAATATCCTGCTTTTACTGGGGTGAAGAAAACTCCTTGCATGAATCAATCTAAGGCTGCAAGCCTATGTACACTTACAGTGGGCCTTTTGTCTAGACAAACATGTACAGGATTGAACTCCATGACTACAAACTAACAACATTAGATTTATGTTTATGTCTTATTAAAAAAATTGTTTTTGAAGGAGCATCTCCTCTTTGAAAAAAAACATCTTAAAAGCATTTTTTTAAACCGAAATAAATATGGAGTCACCTCTGCTATTTATTGGAAAAAATAATTAAACCTTCTTCCTGGATCAGATGATGAAAAGGTGATATACTATACTATTCTTGAGAATTTCTGTATGAGATTATGTTAGTACCATACACCGTGTGCCCTTGGTATCTGCGGGGATTTGGTTCCAGGACCCCCTGTGGACAGCAAAATCCGTTGATGCTCAAGTCCCATTAAATAGAATAGCATAGTAAAATAGTGTCTCTTATATAAAATGGTAAAAATTAAGGTTTCCTTTTTGGAATTTATATTCTTTTAATATTTTCAAGCCAGGGATGGTTGAATCTGTGGATGAAAAATCCATGGATACAGAGGGCTGACTGTACCACTATATTTCCATTATAGTGATAAAGCTGACGTGTTTCCACTAGATATTTTTTTTAAAAGTAAACATGGAAACACCATGACGTTTATGTCTAACCAAACTGGATTAAAATCTTTCTTCTTTTACAAGGTGTCAGACTAAAATATCTATACTGCCATAAGTCAACAGCTCCCAACCTGTTTCCAGCCATCACACATCAACTATATGGGAATCTGGGCTATAAAGAGGTTATCTTTCATTGACTCAGTGGTTAGCCTGTGGCTATCTGTTGTGACCAACAGAAGTCTTCCAGATTTGAAGACAAAGGTTTCCCTGTTATCTCAGATCCAGTCTGAGTCAGAGATGCCAAGGGCTGAACATCCTATACTACTGAGTTGTACAGCCATCATGGGACAAATGATGACCAGTCTTTATCAGGGACTCATAGGTGGAAAGATGTGTTTAAAATGAATCACAGCTTTCTAAGTGGATGCAACATGTGTGTGTTTGGGGTGTGTCACCTCTTAATCCTAACTCCAAGTATAGCCTAACTCTTTAAAGGACATAGAACACCCTTACATGAATATTTTGTTTATGGCAGCCGCCACACTGCAAAATTAATGCAGTTTGACACTGCTTTAGCTGTCATGGCTCCATCCTATGGAATCCTGGGATTTGTAATTTTTTGTGGTACCAAAACTCTCTGACAGAGCAGGCTAAATATCTCACAAAACTACGAAACCCAATATTCCATAGCATTGAGCCATGGCAGTTAAATAAAGCGATCTCAAACTGCATTAATTCTGCAGTGCAGACATAGCCTACATCTGCTGAAAGGCTTCCAGTTTCATTACCAGATGTAACACCAATTGCTGTTTAGAAGCTCCCTGTTCTAATGTTAGTTTACGTACTACTGAAATATTTCCAACACATTTCATTTTTATACCTGTTTATGGATCTTTATGTATGTGTACATATTATATTATCTGTACCTATAGAAAATTTATTATTTTATTTATATGCTGACTTCCCTTCATCTGATTGAGTTCTCCTAGGCATGAGGACCCCACAGGCCTTCATTTACTTGCTTAAGTTTTGCCCACAATTGTATTTTAAATCAGAGTCGTGCCTGTTTATTTCAATGAGAAAAGTGAAATTTGAACACTTAGCCCTACAGCACAAAGGATTTCAGATGATGCTATTCTGTTTGTGCTCCTAAAAGAAATACCAGCTCAGTTTTAGCTGTAGCCTCAGATTCTCTTCTCAGTTTGGCCCAGAATCCATAGGCCTTAGCAACCATCCCACTAATTATTACTTCAATGCCCCTCCACCATTTCTACACCTTTTTCTGACCAAATAATTTCTTGCTGTTGTTGCTGTGTGCCTTCAAGTCATTTCCCACTTATGGCAACCCTACAGCGAGCCTATCATGGGGTCTTCTTGGCAAGATTTGTTCAGTGGTTTCCCATTGCCTTCCCTTGAGGCTGAGAGAGTGTGACTTGCCCAAGGTCACCCAGTGGGTTTCATGGCTGAGCAGGGAATCAAACCGTGGTCTCCAGAGTCACAGTCCAATACTCAAACCACTACACCACACCCAACCAATAACAAATTAGGACAGAAACTTTGGAGAACACCACTAAAATAAAGAGTTTCCAGAGAATACCTTCCTATTATATTGTTACACCTTTAGGCTTTGCACTGGAAAACACATAAACACTGACTAAGAAAGTACGGTAGCTTAAGAAAACAAGGTCTTCCAAGATAACTAGAGAAAAGGATTTTGGTTTTTTTTAGTATTTAGCATTTTATTAATGCTCACCCTAATCCAGAGCCTGTAGCAATTCATATTATCCTTAAGGAATGAGCAATAGGGAGGTGGGTTTCTTAATATGTGTCAGAGATGATGAGCCTTCAGGTGTTTTAAAGTACAACTCCCATATTCCCTTATTATTGACCATCCTGGGTAGAGCTGATGAGGAATTTTAGGCCCCAAAGTTTGGAGAGAGAAAGGCTTACCACTTCTGCTATATGAGATATTGCCCTTCAATGCTTTTTTAAAAAATTGGTCACAGGAATAGTAGTAATTGTTGCTGCTGCCGTTGTTGTTGTTGATGATGATCTTTAGGGAAACTCCAGTTTGAGAAACTCAATATGGCTGACAACAAATTTTAAAAATGCATATGTAAAAATTCACAAAATACAAAAGTTAAAAAGAGATCCAAGGATCAAATCAATTAAAACAAGATTAAATTACACAGCATTAAATACGCACGCACACATACACCAACACAATTAGCAAGACCCAACATATTGTATATGTGAGATGGGCCTTATATAGTCAATCATCAAATGCCTCTTAAAACAGAAAAGTCTTTACTTGTCTGCAAAAAGAGAGTAGGGGGGTGTCAGTCTGGGAAGAGCATTTTTGAGCTTGGGGGCAACCATTGAGAAGGCCCTCTGCCATGTTCTTCTCTCTCTTCTCTATCAGACCATTTATTTTGCTGTGCACAAATATTAATAAGTAAAACTACTTCTATATGTTTACAAAGAAGACTAATATTTTTTTTTTCTTTCTCTGCTAGACCTTATGTGTGTATGAGTGGATGTGGGTCTGTGTATTGTTCAGCTTTTGTATTATCAGATGATTGCACAACTTTCAAGATACACTACTATCTCACATACTTCTCAACAGCTTTAAGAGTTAATATGCCCCAAACCACTACAAATCCAATTAGCAAATCAGGTTTCAGGAGTACAAACATGGACCCCAGACAAAGAGGTTTATATTATTTGCCTATTTTAAAAATGTTTATATTATAGGTTTGTATTGCAGTGGCTCAGGTGCTTAAGATGCTGACTGTTGATTGCAAGATTGGCAAGTTGGCAGTTTGAGGCCCGGGTGCTGCACTAGTCCTTGCTTTGACCAACCTAGCAGTTCGAAAGCATGCAAATGCAAGTAGATAAATAGGTACCACTTTGGTGGGAAGGTAAACAGCGTTCTGTGCAATAATGCTGGCTACATGATCACAGAGTAGTCTCTGACAATGCTGGCTCTTCAGCTTAGTAACGGAGATGAGCACCACCCCCTACAGTCGGACACAACAACCTTGTCAACGGGGAATACCTTTACCTATTATATTTTATAATATAATATAATATAATTATATATAGTGCGTTTATATTATATTTTATATTACAGGTGTACCTGCGAGGGTGGTGGGACAGAGAGAAAGGCCTTCCCAGAAGATCCTTCAGATAATCTGGACCTGAGCAGTATAGAGCTTTACAGGTCATCACCAGCACTTTGAATTCTGTTCTGGTGTAGCTATTGTAACAACTGAGTTGTGTATTCCCTGTAGCCAGCCCTAGTTAGCAATCTGGCTGCATATGTGTTGAAGTACGCAACTTTGAAAGCAATTAATATTGCTAAAGGGCGGAAGAATGGGTGGAGAATAAATGTTTCATAGGAGGAAATTTTATGAAAGAATTTTGTGAAGGAGGAAATACTGTGTAGAAAGTTGTCTTGCTGAAAACAGAGAGTTATACTAAATTACTGTTCATTTGTTCTAAGGGTGCTGTGAGAGGTCTCCTTCTGGCATAGGAGGAATAACTATGTGCATGTGCATTTCAGTCGCCTGTAGGCTTATTGTGACCCCATGGATTTTATAGGGTTATAGGGTGAGGTGGTTTGGCTAGTTCCTTCCTCTGAAATACAGCCTACAGCACCTGGTATTCCTAGGTAGTCTCCCATTCAAGTGCTAACCAGGTCTGCCCCTGCTTAACTTCCAAGATGAGACAGGATCTGGTGCCGTTACGGTATTTTACATGCATATAAAATAAATGTTTTGGTTGTTCACAAACTGATGCAGCCATGGGGCCCTTTCACACTACAGAATGGTAGAGATATCATTCCATTTTAAATGACACGGCTCCATATTATGAAATCCTGAGTTTGACAGTTTTGGAAGGAGCATTTTGAATTCTCCAGCAGAGAACCCATCTAGTGCATCCCCAACTTGAAATCCCAGGTTTCCACAGGATGCAGGCATGACAGTTTAAGTAGAATCATAATGGTATGATTATGTAGTATGAATGGGCCCATGGTGTGGAAAGCTGGGAGCTATATTTATGGCCTTAAGAGACTCCAAATTCCACAAACCAGCCTTTTTCTGGCCATTAAAAATGGTGAACTGCCTCTCCTGGAAACATCCAGGAGAGGAGCAGTTCACCTTTAAAACAGGTTGTAAGCACTGGTCTTTTTTAAAATAATAATAATAATAATAATAATAATAATAATAATAATAATGAAATCGTCCTAAAAAAAATCAGAAATGGATCTCTGGCCACTTCTGGTTTGGTTGCTGCCATCTCCCAGTATTTTTTATTTTTTTGCAGTCCCTACAGTCCATAGAGGGATGCAGTGGCTCAAGTGGTTAAGATGCTGACTTTCTGCCTCGGCAGACAACTAATAGAGTCGTCTTCCGGGCAGGGAAGAG